ACATTTGGTATTAAGTCAAAAATTGTTCTGTGTTTATGTCATAAAATGTTTCATAAAATTTGCCAAATTGTAATTTTACAGGAGTTCTGAATTTTGGATAAATTCTGTAAGCCCATTTTAGGTACTTTGATTCAAAAATTGTTGTCCTATGATTCAGTTTTTTCCAGTTAAAGGTTCCAGAAACAAGAGTTTTAGAAGTGTACAGACTTAAAGGGACATATATATTAACCATTATTATTATTATCCTGCCAATAATTCTTACAGAATCTGATATTTCATGCTCTTTTGTCTCTCCCTGTCTCTGGTGAACTGAGCTCAGCTCTTCTAAATTCATTGGTTAAAGCCCTTGTTATTGATTTTTTTAGTGAAGAAATAGTTTTTAAAAGATATGTATGTGAAATTTGAACGCATAAAACATTTTCTGGAGCATAAAGTTCTTGTTGTGGCTCTTTGTAAATTAATTGCTATCATATCTGAAATAAACTTGTAGTTTTATACTGATTCGTCTGTGGGAAAAAAACGTTGTAAATACATCCTTGTCTCTTTTTGTCTTGTCACCACTAAACATTTACACAGGATGTCAGGAACCTAACCTTGAGGTTCTTATTATACCAATTGCCAAAATACAAATGGTGAGAAATAACGCATATTTCAAAAAATATAAGACTCAACTTTGGGGATCTAAAGTTGCAATCCATCCAGTCAGTGGTTTGCATTTCTATTTTGCACATCCTGTCTAGCCAACAGCTTGAAAGGACTCCCCAGAACTAACTGCCTAATTTTCTACAGTAGGTCAGCCAAGTGAGACGAAGATAACTCCCATTTCTATTTATTTGGCATCAAATTATTTCTTAGCTGGTCCAAAATGTTTGCATTGATGTAATTGAATGATATGGAAAACATGGCCTAGGGAGAACAAAATAGTGCAAAGGTTTGGTGTTGGTTTGCCATCAGGAAGTCCTTCATGGCTTTGGGGTGCTCCACAGCTCTACATTTGGGAGACAAAATGCAGAATTGGTGAATGAAGCCAAATGATGCAAGCCCGGTGGAGAACTTTGTGATGATTACAGCAACCGTTTTTTTTAAAGCATTTCCTCTGGACCCAAGTTTCAAATGGACCAAGGCCAAAATCTTTAATGGACATCTAGGGCAGAACCTGAATGTGGAACTTTTTATTGTTATCCTAAATGCTCAAAGGACGAATCTGGCAAACCTGAGCAACCAAAGTTGGCTGTGGGGCGTCAGGCAAAGGTCATGGTCGTATCTGGTCTCCTGGAGGCTGCTTGGAAAGCTTGGGGGTGACTTGGGTTTTCGTTCCAGCTGGGCCGGTTTTCTAAGCAAATGGCACAACTCGGAGGAGGCTGAAGTTTCTATAAGGTTTTGTGGTTTCCTAGAAATTTCTTGTAGCTTGTTCTTCTGGGATAGAGGTTTCCAGTCCGTAGATAACGGGCTGCACTGGATCTTGCCTATATATCCTTAGTGGGCCACGGATTGAAAGGCCTCTAGGGAAAGATCAGTGAGCAATACCTAGATGAGCAGTTGCAGGTGAAGGAGAGGCGTGCCCTAATCGTAGCCATTTTCTGTAACCCTCAGTCTCGCAAAACTGGCCCTTGGGAAGTGAAGGTGGTTTCTTCTAAACCCTTTGTGGGTCTGGTGATGTGAACCACTTGGGATTTCCTTCACCCAAGGAAGCCGCTGCCGGAAAGCTTCACTCTCTGCCACTTTGGTGAAAATTAAAGACATACTGGGGGAATTAAAGGAGTTTGATCAACTGATTTGGTATTGTTGCTTTGATTGGTTGAGAACTTTGAGCCATCAGTTGGAGAGCTGAGAGAAGACTGATAACAGACTTCCATAAACATTGGGGAACTGCACTATTTGTTTTCAGGCTTACCCAGTTATTGCTACCTTACCATCTATTTTGTTCCATTTTGCTGCTTCTAGCTATGCCATGGCAGTCATGAACCACCACGTGTGCCCTGTTGAGAACTGGTGAGTTGTGCGGGAAAGCAGGAGGGCCGTGGGAGAGAGGAAGGCAAGAGAATCTCAGAATGCTGCTTAATCTGTCCAAATGGCTGCAGGTCATACAACGAGTCTTGTTCTGCTGATTCTACCAAGCACGGCTACCCCAAAAGCTGCTGCACCTTGGAAGACATCCCTCTAATCAGGTGAGGTGGGAAGACGCTTGTGGAGGATGAGCCAGCGGCTGCCTCGGCTGCTCCTGATGTGGTGTCACGAAACGGTGCCAGGCAATTGCCAAATCGGGCGGTTTCCAAGCAAGTCTGTAGGACGACGGGCTGGTTTTCCATCTTGTGCTAATGCCCTTTTCCTTCCCTTTAGTAAATGTGGCACTTACCCTCCCGAAAGTTGTCTCTTCAGCCTTATTGGGAACGTTGGAGCTTTCTTGGGTAAGTGTTCATTTCCCTCTCTTTTCCCAATTTTGTTAGCGAGTGGAGAAGCCGGTGGCAGGGTGGCCCCTGGCACTCAGGGGGAGTTTCCAGAACACACATTACGCCCATCTTAGCAAACGGGTGGCTTTCTGAAGGTCAGCAGGGTCAGGGCTGGGCAGGAAGCAGGGTGAGGAGATTTGTTCTTCTCTCTCCCCCTCTCTCTCCCAGTGGCCATCATCTGCTTCCTGCGCTACGGGCAACTCCTGGAGCAAAGACAGGCCTCTGGGGTGAACACAGCAGCCCTTGTCACCGGTTGCACCAACGCGGCAGGCCTGGTGGTGGTTGGAAATTTCCAGGTTGGTCGAGAGAAGAGTTGTCTGCAGGGTTAGGGATGCCATGGGCCGTTTCTGCTTCCTGGCCCCGAGGGGCCTCTTTGGTGGCTCTTTGGCCTTTGTGGAGCAGAGAGAACCACAAGGCAGAAAAACCAATGCCTGAGCAGGGAACTCCTCCGGCTGGAAGACGGCAGCGATTGCCACGGTAGCCCTGCCTTTGCTCTAACAGCCAGAGCCGGTCTGGTGCACCCCACAAGGGAGGCTTTTTCAAACGCAGAGCTGCCAGAAGTTGCCACGCCTGAGCTCTTCTTTAGCCAGGCCATTCGGCGCTGCCAGGGTAGACTGGAGGCGTCGGTCGGCTTAGCTGTTGGGCCTCTTGCTGAGCTGCTCGTGCTGATGTTGCAAGACGTTTGTGCTCCACGAGGCAATGGCGGCTTTTCGGCTCCGTGGCTTCATTGGAGCCAGACTCCTCCTGGGCACAAAGCCCCCCCTTTGGCCCTGCCTGAGTCACCCGGTGCGCTGCTGAGGCAAGGCCGGCTCGCAGAGGCCCAAGAGGAACCACCCTGTTTGGGCTTCCTGCTACCTTCAGGTGGATTATGCCAAATCCCTTCACTACATCGGAGCCGGCGTTGCCTTCCCAGCTGGCCTGCTTTTCGTCTGCCTCCAGTGCTTCCTCTCCTATCACTCGGCTGCTTCTGCCCTGGACTCCTGGATGGCCCACCTGCGCGTGTTCCTCTCCACCATGGCCTTCGTCTCCCTTGTCCTCAGTATCCTTTTCTGGCAGCCGAGAGCCCCCTCGCCCCCTCTCTCCTTCAACCGAGGCTCTGCCCGCCTCTGTCGCCCGCGTGCCCTCTCCAAAGCGCAGGCAGAGGGCCTCCCTGGCATGGGCACCTGGCCTCCCCCCCACCCCTGGGGCAAGGCCCTTTCCTCCTCCTCCTCCTTCCCCGGCCTTTCCTTGACTCGGCTGCAGGCGGCATCTTCTTCATCCACCAGAGCTTCCTCCTGCAGCACCTGGCCGCCATCTGCGAGTGGGTCTTCGTCATGGACATCCTCGTGTTCTACGGAACCTTCAGCTACGAGTTTGGCACCGTCTCCAACGAGACCCTGGTGGCCGCCCTGCAGCACTCCAGCAGCCGGGGCTGCAAGTCCCCGGGCAGCAGCAGCACCTCCACCCACCTGAACTGCCACCCGGAGAGCATTGCCATGATATGAAGGTGGCGGGAGAGGGAAGGCCCGCCCTACCTCCTCCGCTGCTCTGGCCAGCGGCCTTTCCTTCCGGCCACTTTGGTAGCAAGAGGTTTTTTTAAAAGAATACGTTGCTGCCTGGCCCCACCCTGCAGAGAAGTCCCAAAGACCTCCGTGCCCGGCCTTTGCGCAAGGACACCTTGACGCGCTTCCTCTGCTGGACCTCTGGCCACCCTTCAGGGAGTGCCTCCAAGCCAAAAGTGTGCTCTTGTGTGCCTGTTGGAGTAGCCGAGAACCCAGGTTCCTCTGGCAACCATTGTGCCTCACTGCCAACCCGTCTTCTCTCGAGGCAAGAGTGGCTTAAGCCACAGAAGCAAGTTCATTTGGGGGATGATGTCCCCTGCGCTGGTGCAGACACACCCCTCCCCTTAAGAAAATAAAATTTGTTTAAAAAAATAAATAAATAAAAGCACGGGAAAGAGAGAACCTCCACCACTGTCTCTCTCTCTCTCACACACACACACACCCATCATACGGAGTTTCTCTTCAGCCCTGGGTAAAGCGGTTTGATGTTTTGTAGAACTTTTTTGTATCTTTACCTATATAATAGATATATATAGATGGTATTCAGCTTTGTTCGGGTATTTTCCCATGCCATTATAATTGTGCTTTTAAAGTTGTAGTAACATTTCAGCAGAATCTCATCTGCCATCATCAGGCTTCTGTATTGTGGAATTATATAATGACGTGGGAAAATTACCCGAACAAAGCTGAATACCACACACACACATACACAAATAGCTATCGGAGGAAGGCTGCTGTGTGGTGTATAAGGGTGTTTCTGTGTAGTGGGTCTTTGTTTTGCCATGGGGGGGGTGGGAAGAGGAGAAACTTTTCTTGCCACAAAGCCCCCCAGAGCAGCAGAAGGTCAAGTGGCATGTGCATCAAGGACTCTTCTGCCTTGCAGGATCCCTTTTTGAATGCAGATGTTGACCACATCAAAAGTTGCCTCAACATCTGGGCAGTGCACAGACATGACAACCCACCCACTCATACTTTTGCCCAGGGAAATGCCCCATCTTGGTGCCCTAGATTAACCATGAAATTCCTCTTGCTGCCCGTAGCAGTTATTCCTTGTTCTGCCAAGTTAAAAGGGCTGTAAGGGAAACAAAAAGCGGCACTGATATAAGTTGGTCTAGTGCTACAACTTGCTGAGGACCACGATGGTTGAGTTGGGCCCCTCCAGACCAGCTGGCCAGGTCGAGATAAACCCCTCCTCCAGAGGGAACCTGAAGGGTCCTCCCTGCTGCCCTCAATGGACCCAAATGTTGGGTTTGTTAAGCAGCAGCCAAGTCAACATCTCTGCAATGCAGCTCAGTCAGCAGAGGCAAGATCTTGGGAAAAGGCGGATCCCTGAGAATCATCCCGGGAATTGCCTATTTTGCAGGGAGTACGAGGCATTTGAACCTTTTGTTTGAATGTTTATTATGTATTTCCTAGATAGCCCTTCACCCGGTTTTTCTCCTTGGCAGCTTGCCTCTTCCCCACGTGACGGCTCAGCGGGCAGAGTTTTCAGGGCGAAGCCTAATTTCCAGCCTGCAGCAAATGCTGGGAATGGCCACGGCTGGATATAAGGCCATAAGACAATGGGGGGGGGGGGGGGGGGGGGGGCCACTGCGCGGGCTGGGGCCGGGGGGGGGGGGGGGGGGGGGGCGGAGAGAAACCCACTGACCGCTCTGACGCTGGTTTGCACGGAGCCCCTTTGGGGAGGCAGCCTGGAAACCAAAGACCGGCCCGCCTTCATTGTTCAGAGGCCGCTCTGGGCTCCGCGCATCGGAGGGCTTGCTTAGGACGAAGCGCCGAGGAGGTTGGCGGGGGGGGGGGGGGGGCTTTTCTTCTCCCCGGAAGCCGCTCGGGCCCCGGGGGTCACGTGTACATGGCGCCATGGAGGTACTCCAGTCGGTGCACCTGCTGCTCCTTCCGGACCTTCGGGAGGGAAAGAGCGCCGCTGCAGCCCAGGGAAGCCGGCAGCAGCCGCCGCGCCCAGGGCGGGGCGAGAGGGCGGAAGTCCCCGCTACCGGCCCTCCCCGCTCCAAAGCGGAGCCCCCCCTCCCCGGAAGCCCCCCCCCAGCAGCCCCAGGCGGCCCAGCAGCCCCCCCGCCCCCCCCCCC